CGCCTTAGCCGGTTGAGCTATAGGCGCCGAGCCAACTTATGCCTTTTTTTAAAATTTATTTTTATTTTTATTTTGCAGTTTTTGGCCAGGGCTGGGCTTGAACCCACCACCTCCAGCATATGGGGCCAGCACCCTACCCCTTTGAGCCACAGGGCCACCCCTGGTAACTTATGCCTTTTGAACAACTGTTTCCCCCTCTGCTAGCAGCTACCATTATACTTTCTGTTTCTATGAGTTTAATTACTTTAGATACCTCATATAAGTTGAATTATACAATATTCATCTTTTTGTAATTGGCTTAGTTCAAATATCATAGTGTCCTCAAGGTTCTTCCATGTTGTAGCATAAGACAGTTCCCTTCCTTTTAAAGGCTGAATAATAACTGCATTGTATGTATATGTACTATATATTTTTTATCTGTTCATCTCTTGATGGGCCCTCGGGTTATTTCCAGGTGAATATGAGTATGAAAATATCTCTCCAAGATCTTGTTTTCAATTCTTTAGAATATGTACCCAGAAGTGGGATTGCAGTGTCATACGTTAGATCTATTTTTAATTTTTTGAGAAACATCCATGCTGTTTTCCATAGTTGACTGCACCATTTTACAACCCTATGAACAGTATGCAAATATTTCAACATCTTCACCCATACTTGTATTCTGTTTTTAAAAAAATGTATTTAATTAATTAACTAACTTTTTGAGACAGAGTCTCTCTCTGTGGCCCAGGGTAGAGTGTGGTAGCATCATAGCTCACAGCAACTTCAAACTTTTGGGCTCAAGAAATCCTCTTGACAAAAAAAAAAAAAAAGAAAGAAAGAAATCTTCTTGCCTCAGCCTTCTGAGTAGCTGGTTCTAGCCACTACACCTGGATAGTTTTTTCTATTTTTAGTAGAGATGGATCTTGCTCTTGCTCAGGCTGATCTTGAACTACTGAGTTCAAAAGGGATCCTCCTGCCTAGGGCTCCCAGAGTGCTGTGATTACAGGAGTGTAAACATGTTTTGAAATCAAGAAGTATGAGGTGGGCTGGGTGCAGTGGCTCACACATGTAATCCTAGCACTCTGGGAGGCTGAGGCAGGTGGACTGTTTGAGCTCAGGAGTTCAAGACCAGCCTGAGCAAAAGTGGGACCCCATCTCTACTAAAAATGGAAAAATTGAGACAAGAGGATTGCTTAAACCCAAGATTTGGAGGTTGCTGTGAACTATGACCACTCTACCCAGAGTGACAGTTTGAAAAAAAAAGTATGAAGTCTCAGCCGGGCACAGTGGCTCATGCCTGTAATCCTAGCACTATGGGAGGCTGAGGAGGGTAGATTGTCTGAGCTCATGGGTTCAAGACCATCCTGATCCAGAGCAAGCCCTTGTCTCTAAAAATAGCTGGGTGTTGTGGTGGGCACCTGTAGTCCCAGCTACTTGGGAGACTGAGGCAAGAGAATCACTTAAGCTCAAGAGTTTGAGGTTGCTGTGAGCTGTGATGGTATAGCACTCAATAGGGAGTAACAAAGTGAGACTCTGTTTCAAAAAAAAAAGGAAAGGATGAGGTCTCCCAACTTTGTTCTTTTTTCTCAAGATTGTTTTGGCTATTTGGAGTCCTTTGAGATTCCATATGAATTTTAGCATTTTTTTTCCTATTTCTGTTAAAAATGTCATTGGGTGGCACACATGGGGCAATTCAACTGCTCTTTGGTGGAATTGACATCACGAGATTTCAGAAGCATAATTTTTTTGGTACCTGGGCATTTGGTGATTTGTTGGTCCCAGTGTCCTTTGAAAGAAAAAAAAAATGCCATTGGGGCTGGGTGCAGTGCCTCAGGCCTGTAATCCTAGCAACCTGGGAGGCTGAGGTGGGTGGACTGCCTGAGCTCACAGGTTCAAGACCAACCTGAGCCAGAGTAAGACCTAAAAATAGCCGGGCGTTGTGGTGGGCCTTGGAGTCCCAGGTACTCAGGAGGCTGAGGCAAGAGAATCACTTGAGCCCAAGAATTTAGGGTTGCTGTGAGTTATGATGCCATAGCACTCTACTGAGGGTGACAAAGTGAGACTCTGTCTCAAAAGAAAAAAAAAGGGCAGTGCCTGTGGCTCAAAGGAGTAGGGCGCTGGCCCATATGCTGGAGGTAGAGGGTTCAAACCTAGCCCCTGCCAAAAAAAAAAAAAAAGAAAGAAAAGAAAAAGAAAAAAGAATACCACTGGATTTTAATAGAGGTTGCATTAAATGTGTAGATCACTTTGGGTAGTATGGACATTTTAACAATATTAAATCTTCACTCTGGGCAGTGCCTGTGGCTCAGTGAGTAGGGCACCGGCCTCATATGCCAAGGTTAGTGGGTTTGAACCTGGCCCTGGCCAAACTGCAACAAAAAATAGCTGGGTATTGTGGGGGCGCCTGTAGTCCCAGCTACTCGGGAGGTTGAGGCCAGAGAATCGCCTAAGCCCAAGAGCTGGAGGTTGCTGTGAGCTGTGATGCCACAGTACTCTACTGAGGGCGACAAAGTGAGACTCTT